GCCTGGAGGAGCTTAATAACCCAGAACTGTACAGCCAAGGGGAGAGTCTGATGCTTTGTCTCCATCTCTCCTCACAAGGCTTCATCCCTCTTGTGTACAGCTGGGAAATGTGACCAGCGGTGCAGGAGGGTTTTTGACAGACCACTGTAGGAACACGGAGCGTAGCACTTTCTCCCTGTGCCAGCATCTGGCTCACTCATCTCATTTTGTTCTTAGGAGTTACAGAAGGGGAAAGGAATGGCCTGACATTCCTACCAGACGCTGACGTTCCTTGGCTGTGTTTGGGACTTCCATGTGCAGCTTCTCTGTGATAGATATCATGGGAAAAGACACTGATGGGGCCTGGACCCTGTTCTCTGTCCGAATAGTGTATGTAGGGGTGGTTTTAAGGAAAGGAAGCGCAGAGGGAATGCTGTCTGTGCTGCAGGAGGGGTAGCATCAGGGAGCTGGTCATAGACATGGGCCCTAGTGGGTCGGGGGGTAAATGCAACGTGCGAGTCCAGTTGCTGGGCAGGAAAAACTGCCTGAGATGAGATGCGAGGCCTGAGCTAGTATTAGGGGACGCTGATTATGGGGTCTGAGACTGTGGAAAGGCAGGAGTTCTGTGGGTCTGTGAAGAGAAGTGACCAGGGGGGTGGAGTCTGAAGAGACTGGTAGTTTGTACAGTGTATGAAGAGATAATGAGTACAGGGTAGAGGTCTGTCAGGAGACAGCAAGCAGCCTATGGGTTCTGTGAGATGTTAGTAGGATGCGGGGTCGTGAGGAGACGGAGAGTAGGGTCTGTAAGAAGACAGTGAGTGGCGTGTGGTGTTTGGAGCTGACTGTGAGGAGGGGTGTGACATATGTGAAGAGACAGTAGGGTATGTATTTCGTGAGGGGACAGTGAATAGGGATGTGAAGTATGTGGGGACAAATTAGAATGTCAGGTTTGTGAGGAAACACTACAGTGAGTATGAGAAGGGAGCCTGAGTAGGGGATGAGGTCTGTGAGGAGCCTTACATGGGGGCGAGGGACTGAGGAGACAGTAGAGTGTGGCATCTTGAGACGGCGTGTATGGTATGTTTGAGGAGTCAGTGAAGACTGGTGTGGAGCATGTGAGGAGACAGTGAGTAGGGTGGGGATCTCTGAGGAGACAGTGAGCAGGGGTTTGTGGGCTGTGAGGAGACAGTGGGTACAGTGTGAGATGTGTGAGAGGATAGTGAGTAGGGGTCTGTGGTCTCTGAGGAGGCTGTGAATCCAGTGTATAGTTTGCAAGGAAACTGGGTAGGGTGTGGGGGTGAGGAGACCTACAGAAGCCTTTGGGGTCTGTGAGTAGAGAGTGAAGAAGGTGTAGTGTCTGTGAGGAGACAGTGAGTAGCGGGTGGGATCAGTGAGCAAATAGTGAAAAGGGGTGATGAAATTATATAGGCATGGGGTCTATGAGGAGACCGCAGTTAGGGTTTGTGGACTGCGGGGTGTGTGAGGAGACAGTGAGTAGAGGTGAGTAGACATGGAGGGTATGTGAGGAGAAAGTAGGGGTGTGGTCTGTGAGGAGACAGTAAATGGGGTGTGCAGAATGTGAGGGGACAGTGGGGCTGGGTGTGAGATGTGTGAGGATCCAGTGAGTATGGCCATGGTGTGTGAGGAGATGGTATGTGTGTGGGGTGTGTGAGGACCCAGTGAGTACGGCCATGGCGTGTGAGGAGATAGTGTGGGTGTGGAGTATGTGAGGACCCAGTGAGTATGGCCATGGTGTGTGAGGAGATAGTGTGGGTGTGGACTGTGAGGACCCAGTGAGAATGACCATGGTGTGTGAGGAGATAGTATGGGTGTGGGGTGTGTGAGGACCCAGGGAGTACGGCCATGGCGTGTGAGGAGATAGTATGGGTGTGGGGTGTGTGAGGACCCAGGGAGTATGCCTGTGGTGTATAAGGAGATAGTATGGGTGTGGGGTGTGTGAGGACCCAGTGAGT